ACAATATGCACAAACATCTTTGATAAGTTATCACAATTCAAAGGCCGTAGAGATTCTTTCCACATCATGGAAGACACATGTAGACAACACACATATCACTCTTCCCCCATCCTCACCTTAATACTTACCCGGAGTCAAGGCTGGAATCAAGTCAGGTCGACCAACACGTTTGAGTCGAGAGGCCATTGATTTTGCTGCGAGTCGACGGATAAAGCGTCCAAATAATGTATTGTAGTATCCAATTTTTATATATGTCAAGTCAACCTGTTTATAGCAGTGATGAAATTAAGCAACCGACAGTAATATCAATCATCCCGCACAGTATCAGCATCAGCAGTGATATTGCATATACATTACCTTGAAAAAGATATACAGGCGGTATATCCACATAACGAAAGGAATATTGCGAAACAGAAATTTCGTGATACGAGAATATGCGAATTGATCTATAATATGAGATTTTTATGAAAGGCATAAAAGGGATTAATTACACATAGCTGGTGGCTGGCAAGTTTTCCCTTTTCAATTCAAGAGTAACTTTTGCTATACATACTTCGTGGTGTTACCCAGGCAGGAGTTCGCTGATAACTGTAAAGATGCGATGCCATTTTCCGCAGTGCCGGAATCACTTGGACAGCTCTATATACAAATCGAGTAAGTTGAGTATCTAGATCTTGTTACAAGCAAGTGTATATACCGCCTTTTCTTTCAGGAGAATGTTTAGAGTTTGATCCGTACGTTGCTCCACTACCAATAATAGCTATGCGTTTGTTCGTATAGTCAATGTTGTGATTCCAACGAGCTGTATGTACAACAGGCCCATCAAAGTTTTCGATTGGAATACCCTGGGGATATTTTGGTACTCTGAACGGTCCAAGACCAGCAAATCTAAGATGATAGATTAAGTTAGCTCCGTGCCTTTCTCTGTGTTACTTGAGAGAAAAGAACGCGTTCTTTTCTTTCTTCTTTCCCCTTGCCCTTCTATCCAGCGGGTAGCTATATTTACACAAAATCAAAATGCCCGGATCCGGTTTCCTGGTGATTGTTTGTATTCCTCCATTCAAGCAGCCAGTGGTTTTCTTGCTCGTTCCACTCTGCACGCATCATTTCGGTTTCGAATGATATCTTGTCGTACAAGTCGTACTTTTTGGTGATGTTTTTCAAGTATTTCTGGATCTCAGCTTGAGGACTATAATGCTTTGTCCAGCCTGAGTGTGTCATTGACCAAGGCGGACTAACAGTTAATTTATGTTTTTCAACTTTATCGTGTTAACTTTGGATGCGTACTTGGATTTGGCTCGAAACTGAACGAGTATACGTGGGATGGAATATCGCACTCGAGACCAGGGTACCTATTGATCATCCATATTAATCAAACTGACTCAACCAGTAAAAAGAATCGTTTCGTGCAGAAACGAGCACCCTCATATTTACGTGTTTGCTTCCCAGGTGCCACCGACGTCTTTGGACATCTCGAAAAGCTGTGCGTCGACACCGAGTTCTTGCTTGACTTTGATAGCAGCGCAGATACCGGTGAAACTGGTTAACAAGCGGAAGATTGCATCAGTATTATCTCGAGAATACCCGATATGACCACTGTTCTTTTAATTTTACCCCGTGCCGATCACAGCAACAGTAGGCTTCTTGCTCATTTTTTTTTGTTTCGCTTCGAAAATAAAGTTATAGAAAAAAATAGAGGAAAGAGAGACAAAGTATTGCCGCGCCCTTTCCGATTTTTGTACCAATTGTTGTAGCTGATGGTGACACAGTCATTCTTTTCCTTTTCGCCCAGGATATAGCTATCTTGAACATTTTTTCGCTAAGGGGCAAATCTTTATCTCTTTCATCGTAAAAAATTCCAATGATATGTACCTAGTGTACTATGTGTCGTGCTTGCACGTCGGTTAAAAGGTAATTTAGGACATCCTATCAACGAAGTGAGTGGCACAATCAACAATAGAAGAGCTGGCGCTACCATTGTATACCAAAAGAAAATGCGGGGTGGGCTGTATGTGGCACAAAATATATCTGCACAATCTGCACATAAAACACTACTGGCTTATTGTGTTGTAGAACGTATGAAGTTGACCAAATATGCACATATATTGACGCACATGAACTTATATGCTTTATACGCTCTCTTTTTTTTCACATTGATGTGTATTCTAAAAGTTTCAAGGAAACTCTTGCTGACCGGAACGTCCTAGACTTTTCTTTCCTTTGCTTGATGATAATATGTTAAATAATTTAGCGTAAGCTTAATTGCACTTGATGGCTAGAAGTATGTTGACTTTGCTATTTTCATCTGAAACAAGTTTGAAGTATACAATAATTGCAATAAAATAGTCAGAAATTCACAATGATAGCAATAATCATGTGTACTAGCTAGTCAGATAAGCTTATTTTTACTAGGATAACAATCCAAATATACATGTGCTATAAGTTTAGTATTGTTTTTTTAAGGAGGTATACGTGTACATACAAAATGCTTTAGTTAAAGACTATTGTGAAAGTTGAGCGTTATATTCGCGCGAGAATTGTAAGGGCGGGTCGACCGGTCGTTGTTGCTACAAACGGTGTGCTAAATAACGCTCTTTTTTCATTGAACCGGGAGTTGCTAGTTGTTATTAACGACGATCGCTTTTGAGCTTATTAATAATTATTCTCTGCTGTTTGTCGTCATTAGCGTCGGCCAGCGTTTGCGTCTTTGTCCGTCCGCTCCTTCGTCATCAGCATCGCTGTTGTGTATAGACTTCAATTGATTTGACAATGTGTCTTCCAGGCGCTTGTATGGAAGAGACGACGATTGTCGCGGCCCGGAATGTACCACGTATCGCGTTCTCCATAGCACCCGTTCATCCGAAACCATCATCAGTGCACTACCCCAATTTGTCGGCTAGTTACAGCACTTCGTTAACTTTTTCTCTTTCCATGATGTGTTTCACAAGTTGATTGACATGGTCCTTCAACGAACATGTAAAGAATTAGTGAGCAAATCCAAGTAAAGCAAGCAATTACGATGATTACAACTATCAAGTTATACACTACAGTACTTCTTTTATTAAATAAATCTTCGCTTATAAAAAAAAAAGAAAGCCAAAGGACACAGAAAGGATTTACAAGAAAGTGCAGTGTGATGAATTTGACTTGTTCCTGGAAGAAAACCCACAGCTACATCCACCTGCCTCACTTCGCTAGCTTCCAAACTTAAATAAGTTCGTCTTCAGAGCTCAATCGAATCATGCGTGATCGCAGACGTGTCGCAAATACATCTTACCACGTTTATGATGGTGACATGTGGCGAGAGTTTGCTGATTGCGCTGTCGTCGTTTTTGATCCACGACGTGCTTGTATAAACCACTGCGGTGGGTCATATGTTTAGGATATTGGCATTGCAGGAATTTAGGCAGCTGGTGGGTAATACTTTCATTGTTGACAGCAACACTTTTTTTTCCCAATGCAAGAGCTGTTCGTACAGGCATAGCTCGTTGCTATAATATAAAAACAACTGCATATGCAACTAGCATCAAGCTGCACAAGACATTGGTCCGATTCACTCTGCCGTACCTACAACGCGTCGTAGCTTTATTAATAAATTCTGTAGACTTGAAGCAAGATTGACAGCTCTGACGTTTTAAAGTCACAATGCCCTTAATCAAGAGATGCGGCATCCAAAGGAATATACGAGGATAGTACAGCACCTCGGACTCGAGTTTTTCGGTATGTACTGCAACTGCCTTCTAACACAACCGAGCTGTTGACCTGTTGCTTACTAGACAGACACTCAGCTAACAGAGACAAGTAGGCCGATCCGTCTACTACTACGAGTGGCACATAGTGCACTCATTACACACACACACACACACAGCTTTCTCCTCGTTACAACACAATATCATATGCTTTAAACTTAAGAAAAATGTAGCTGATATGAAATAACAGATTCTGAATACTAATATGTTGATCTTGCTGATTGATGTTGTATGTAAAGAAAATAATAAAGCTAAGTACAATTCCAGTAGTGTTAGTTTTTTTGTTTCTTTGATTGATTGATAGATTTTCTGCCGTTTCTGGATGTGTGGGTGTGTGTATGTGCAGATGTGGACGTGTGGAGAACTGATTAATAAAGTTTTACTGTAAAAATATATGCAAAGAAGATGGGATTTAACAAAGAAGAGAAGAGAAAGGGTAAGGTTTCCTATCTTAGTACTGCTATGATAGTACTACTGCGTCATGAAAAAGATGGGGATGATTGCGTGGATGCTGGTAATTGTGAGGTACACCTGGTGGTGTAGATGCTTCTGGGATGGTAACGTAAGTGCGTTTGGGTTTCGGAGGTGGCGTGAGTGCCTTTGATGTTATTATAAAAGCAACAAAACAACACAGTTTGTGTATGAGAGAGAGAAGACTTGCCATTGGAAGATGTGATATATTCTGAAAAAAAAAAAGTCAAATACATACCAAGAAGCAGACTTCGAGATCCTCCTTGTTCACCAGGCCCCATTTGTTATCGTCTTCTTCGAGCGCAAGTTGATAGGCTAGGGCTGCATTTACAGCCCATGCTGAGGGATCGTTTATACTGTCTCGTTGCTGTTGTTGGTTTTGCAAACAAATACCACGAATCAACCGTTCGGCCTCTTGCATTCTGTTTTCCCAAGCGGACGATGTCTTGAAATGTGTAAAGTCAATATCCCGGCCACGGAAGAGTGAGTGACGTCGCGAATGGTGATGCTGTTGCTGTTTTTCGTTGAAACTTGTTACCGCTACTGGCGGTTGTGCTGATGTTGTGTTCCAAAAGAGCTCATAGGCCATGGTGGAGATATTGTTCACGATCAATGAGGTAAGAGACCAACATCCTTTGGTTGGTCGCTCGTCACGCGCTTCTTCTTGTTCTTGTTTTTTTTGTGCTACCTGGTCCCGCTGGTACGGATCATAGCAGGGGCCGAAAATTTGTCGCTTCATGGTGCCAAAGATGCCGAGCAGCGACATCAGACCACTAGGTTGACTAGGTCGTGTTTCGACCGCTGTCGCCATCGTTGTCGTATCACTATCACTAGTCGCTTGCTGTTGGTTCTGAGCCTTGCCGCCGGTGGTCACGAAAACCTTGCCAAGGAGATATTTCCACATTTTTTGTGCTGGTATTTTTACAAGAAGTTATAGACAAAGAGATATTGGGTACAAGTGTGCGTAATGTGTTGCTTAAAGCACTGTTTGGGTATTGAGATCAAGAGGTAGTAGTAGAGTAAAACAAGGGTTGAAAGTGGAAGATGAAGGAAAGAGAGATGAGAAGATTGAGGGAAGACGCACAGCTTTGATTGATTTTTATAATGTGACAGAGGCACTGAAGTGCATGTCACAGCTTTGATTGATGAAAACGCTCCATCTCCTGTCCGCTCTTTTTTTTGGGTCTGTATTCACATACACACAATCACCATTCTCCAAACAGCAGCAAACCCATGCATTGCCCTTTCTCCTGCTGATTAAACGCTTTCCTTCCATAGCCTCTTCACTACTGCCTTCTTTTGTGTATGTACGCTTTCAATACGACTTCTTATTCGCTCTATGTTCTCTTGGGCTGTATCGTGTAGTAGTAGCAGTCATACCCACCTGTTTCCTTGGTTCAGACGTGTACGCAGCCCGAGTTAAAAATAATAAGCAAACATTCCGAAGCCGTAACCTGCTAAGCACAGCCTCCTCAACAGACTCGTAGGTCCGTGATTACATCATTGTTGTGTTCTTGTAGCTATTTGTCACAATAACACTTACTCTACCACCCACCATATGACTTGAATGCTATGCCGGTAGTCGTATATCAATCATCATGAGTTTTGCCTGGTTATCGTTTTGAATGATTAATGTCAAGACACATCGCGGAAGCTTTCAAAGCGTCATACAGATGTAATTCTTTCACTCTATCATCTACAATAGGACTTGAATGTTATGCCGGTAGTCGTATATCACTCATCACGAGTTTTGCATGGATATGCTTGGATATCGTTTTGGATGATTAATGTCAAAACACATCGCAGAAGCTTTCAAAGCGTCATACAGATGCATAAATCTTTCATTGTTCTGTCGTGATTTTCATGTGTCCTTCTTTCCAGCGATGAGTTATTCGTTTCAGTTCAATAATGTATATACGCCCCGGTGATGCAACGGAGAGACATGAGGATGTAGATTAAAACACCCTGCTGCTGCTACGACAATGGCCAATAAGGATGGTGGACACCTTTACATGTTCACTAAAACCTTGGGTTACACAAGGTTTAAAAAGACATAATTAAGCTATTTTACTTTATGGCGAACTGCCTGCGCGACTGTACAGCGAAAATATATAAAGTTCCGGATACCTGGGTTGTCTTTGACCCGTCCATATGATATGTGTACTACAGAAAATATTAGGCTGAGGGAGCACAGGAATAAATAACATTAAACTTATTAAATATCAAATATATAAATCGTCATGACGATCGGTGGCGAGAGCGGAGGGTATCGAACGAGTTCAAGCATATAATGGCCAGAACACTGTTTTTTGTTTTTCTCGATCGAGGCTAAATATATTAGAAAAGGGTTAATGCACATGCGGCAAACTTTGTTAACGAACCTTGCGATGATGTGGTTTCTGCTCGGTTTGTGAGTGTACAGCAGTGTGTGT